GAGAACAAGTTTCTTTAGTCCAACAAAATAAAGGCTGAGAAGAGACACGTTGCTCTCTCTGATATGCACTGGGAGCTAAACACCAAGAAAAGGGGGAAGAAGGTGGGGGAGGAGAAGCTATTTAGGCTAAAGAACAGGGTTATCGCAACAACAAATGGGTGAAGACTGGCCACAACTAAGCTAAAATTCTGTAGCAACCTCCTAAGCAGAGGAGTTGGGGACAAAAATTGAACTCATCTTTAAATGGAGCGTGATCAGTTTGAGAAAGGAATGATGTGAAGTGATGGCAGGAGACACCAGATACCAGGTACCCAGGAGGCGGTCCTCCATGCTACATCCCTCTGCTAGGTATTTGCCCTAGGATGTTTTATAGTCACAACACATCAAGGTGTCTTTGCTGACAGACTGCTATTTCCCATCTAGTCCTTGCATCTTCTCTTAGCCAATTAAGCAACCTATGGTGGGAGAGGCTACCCATTCTTGTTACCCACTGGGCAATGGCTCTGTGGGAGTTCAGGGGGTCTGAGGTGTGCTGGAGCAGGCTCTGCATGTGCATGACTCTGATGATGGTCTCTCATTTTGCCTTCCAGCAAAGATAAGTACTAAGAGAAATCGGGCACATGTAGCACTTTTCTGATGCCTGAATTTAGATGAGGCATCAGAACTAAAATAGAAGACAAGCTTTTCTTTTTCTCCTGTTTATAGTTTGAATTCTGAGAGTCACTTTATTGCCTCTCTTATACGGAGCTGGATCCTCAGCTGATTGTAAACTGACATAACTGCATTTTCTGTGGCCCTTGCCTCTGATGTATAATTAGAAGCATCCCCCAACTTCCTTGTTTCCAGTTCACTGATTCCACCTTGCTTTCCAGTTTTACCAGTGCAGACATCAACGATACCATTCTGATCCACTCCCCAGAAAGCCACTGAAATGTTTCTTCCTGTTTTGCATTTGCAACAGACAAAGGGCAGGAAAACATGCAGTTGTCCCAAGGAAAATTATGATTACCTTTCCATTATTTCTGTGGAGCCTGCCTTTCCCATCTACCTGTCATCTTTATCTTGAAGGGAGGGGCATGGCTTGGTTTCCCAAAGGCTTCTGGAGATTTTTTTTAAAATTCTTACTTCCATTTCATGCAATATCCCGTCTGGCCTGTGTTGCTCCTGGACTTAATCCGCTTTCCTGGCAGGAACCAGACACATACAAAGTGCTGCCCAATGCAGGGGGAACTTCCATTTACTTTACAAGAAGTTGTCAGCAGTTTGCAGCAGGTTCTGTGCAAGTCAGCGGCTGGAAAAGGCTGATTGCTCATGAAGAGCTGGGGAAGCAGGTGCACCTTGGGACTCATTGTCTGCTGCTCATGCAATGGAGTGATTCTGGTAAGCAGGGATTTCTTGAAAGCACAAGACTTTCCACCCATATCTAAAAACTACACAATGAAGCATTTACCCTAAACAGGGGGAACAGTCTATGCTTTGTACTCTCTCCAGAGTGAAAGCTTGAAGGAGTGCAACCCTTCAAACCCAACTTTTCAGGTAAGGCACCTCAGTTTCCATTGCTTCCTTGTGTTCTTCTTGTCCCTCTCCACATTAAACTTGCCTACTTCTGAGCCCCCAAGCTCATCTGGAGCTCTAGCCCTGCTGGGTCCCAGCTTTCAGGGCAAGAGACCCTTGAGGGTAAATCTGTAGGGGAAAGCCAGGCACAGGGGTTGGGGTGGCTTTATGGTAAATCTCTGCAGTGGAGCAGTGAGCTGGGTTTCAGAGAGATGCTGCTTTCCTTCCTCTAGTAAACCTTCTTGATGATTCTGTGTCATTCTTTGCCACTGGCCCAGAAAAACACTTCTGTCCACTGCTCATTATCATTACTTCACAACCCCCCAATTTCAGAGATCCCAAATCCTGAAGGACACCCTTCCATCTGCTCAGATTTAAAAATAAGACCTCTAGTCTTTTTGAATGATGACCCCATATCCAGGCTCCCAAAGTGGAAGAAATCCTCACTGTTGAGACCCCAAACTCAAGGGTATTTATTTTATGGCATTGCCAAATTTCAAGGATTCACATCCTATGTACACTCAGACTTCTCTTGCTTTCCAAAATCACCCTCCTTTCCTTCAAACTCTTTTTCCTCCAGGTCATGGCCCTCTGAGCTGCCAGACAACTCAGAGAGCTGTGACCCTCCAAGGTTCATTGTTACTCTCTCTGGTCCTTTCAGAGCCCATCACCAGCCTCCTTGCCAAAATTTCACATTAGCTCCTTGCTTGCCCAAAAACCTGTTCCCTGTCAGCAGAAACCCTCCAGCAGTTTGAGGTTTTACATCCTGTTGAATGTAAGACATGCAGTTCACGGTGCAAGGACAATGAGGCAAAGAGGGAACCTCTCTAGATGGATCACCAAGTCTAGTGCCCTACTGTTGTCATGATCACGGTGACAAAGCTCAACATATGTGTGGGGAGGGGAGCTCAGATCCACTTCAATGCACACAGCTGAAGCAGCAAGTGAGAGAGAAATGTTGAGTGTTTGTCTGGATACTGGAATTGATCCCTCCCAATCCATACCCCTAACAAGAGAAATCTTTTCAGCTTTGTTAAAATGCAGCCAGAAGAGGGACCTAGTTAATCACAGAAGGGTGATTTCATGTTTTAAAGAAACATGGCAATCTGTGCTTGAACACTGTATTGGAAATTTCAAGATAAAGTCAGAGACTGGAAAGGGATTGATAGAAATTGTTAATATTTGACAATGTTTAACTGCTCGTAGTTTGCAAGTTCCATAGGGCAGAGATTCCAGACCAATAATTTGTGGGTCTTTGCTTTATTTTGCAGGATTTTTGAGGAGCATTGTGTTGTCTGAAATCATAGTTGGCCATGTCTCCCCCTGTAACCTCAGATCTTGCCTACATCCCTCCCGATGGCGGATGGGGATGGGCAGTGGTATTTGGAGCTTCCATCACTGTTGGATTTTCATACTCCTTCCCAAAAGCTTTCACCATCTATTTCAAAGAACTTCAGGCTGCGTATAAGGTATCCTACAGCCAGATCGCATGGATAACTTCCATCATGTGTGCTGCTACCTATGGAGGGGGTGAGTGAAACCTAGAGCATTTCTTTGGGTCAAAGAAGGGCTTATCTTTCTTCAAAACTGGGCAGAAAAGAATCATTTTCTTCTAAACAGTTCAGTGGGGTCCAAATGAAATTCTGGCTTTCTGTTCTTATCCTGTTTCATATTGCATCATGGCACTTTAGTGAATATTGGTGAATGTTTTCATAGTGGTCAAATCTTTAACACGGCATCAAATATTGCTAGTGCTTAGGATTTTACTGGAAGTCATGCTATGGTTGTAGAAGAAATCGTGGCCTTGCTGAGCCTGATGGAAATTTTGCTGTGGATTTAATTGTGGTCAGTATTTTACCTCTGGTGTTTTTCCCTAAACCTTCTGGAGTCATGTGATCACATGAGATTTCATTTCAAGCAAAGCTGAATTTCTAGTGGTCACAGTTGTGGAAAACCACCAGAAAGCAACAGACAAAGAAACAGCATATTGCATGTCGTTAGTTTAAGAAAACCCTCAAGGATTTCAAACCAGTTTTTAAGATTTTGGGGGTTTGACCATTTTTGAGTGCTTGGGTTTGCCAATGAATGCTACAAAAAAATTTTCTATGGAAATATTTTTATAAAACACTAATTCTGGTTGAATTTGTTTAAAAACTACAGCAAATATTTCTTAAATAACCAAGATTTTGGTATCTCACGCAGAAGCATTTTGAAGGGATAAAGGTTATTTTTAAAGATAGAACATTAACTGAATAAGTGTGCACCTCAAAAAGCATCTGTTTATAGGGCAGATCACTATAAATAGTGGCCACAGCCCATTTAGGTAAAAGTAACATTTGTCCTAATAATTGAATTCATAGATTCATAGATTAAGGGTCGGAAGGGACCTAGTAGATCTTCTAGCCCGACCCCCCGCCAGGGCGGGAGAACAACAAAAAACCCCAAAAAGAGAAACGGGACTCAAATGAGTCCAGCCAGGTAGGCATCCAGCCTCTTCTTAAAGACCCCCAGGGTAGGGGCCAGCACCACTTCCCTTGGAAGTTGGTTCCAGCTCCTAGCC